AAAATCATCCTCATATAACCATCTGATATTTTACAAAGCAGACCAAAACATACACTGGAGAAAAGAATCATTATTCAATAAATGGTCCTGGGAAAATTGGATAGCCACATGTGGAAGACTTGAAACAGCATCCGCACCTCTCACCTCTCACAAAAATCAACTCACAATGGATAACAGACTTAAACCTAAGGCATGAAACTATAAGAATTCTAGAAGAAAATTTTGGAAAAACTCTTACAGACATCAGCGTAGGCAAATAATTTATGAAGAAAGCCCTAAAAGCAACAACAAAAATAAATAAATGGGAACTGATCAAATTAAAAATCTTCTGCACAGCCAAAGAAACTATCATTACAGCAAATAGCCTACAGAATGAGAGAAAATATTTGCTTTATACCCATCTGATAAAGGGCTGATAACAAAAATCTATATAGAACTTAAGAAAATCAACAAGAAAAAATCAAACAACCCCATCAATAAATGGGCAAAGGACATGACCAGAAATGTTTCAAAAGAAGACAGACTAATGGCCAGAAAAAATATAAAAAAGTGGCCTGTGTCTTTTAATAAGTGAAACAAAATTACAAAAAATTGGAAAAATTTAATTTTGTATATTTCTTTATATTGAATATGGTGTCAAAACCTTTTTTCTTTTTTCTTTTTAATTTAGTATATTTAGAGGGTACAAGTTAAATTCTGTTACATGTATATATTGTATAGTGGTGGAATCTGGGCTTTTGGTATACCCATCACACAAGTAGTATACATTGTACCCAATAGCTAATTTTCCATCCCTCACTCCCTCCTCCTATATCCCCCTTGTCAGTCTCCAATGTCCATTATACCACTCTATGTGCCCTGTGTAGCCACAGTTTAGCTCCCACTTACAAGTGAAGGCATGCAGCATTTATTTTTCTGTCTCTGAGTTACATCACTCAGGATGATAGCCTCCAGTTGCATCCATGTTGCTATAAGAGACATTTCATTCTTTCATATATCTAAGTAGTACTCCATGGTAAATATATATATCACATTTTCTTAATCCACTCATCTGTTGATGGGCACTTATATTGATTTCATATCTTTGTAATAGTGAATTGTACTGTAATAAACATATGAGTGCATTTGATATAATGATTTATTTTCCTCTGGGTAGATACCCAATAATAGGATTGTGGATTGAATGGTTAGATCTGCTTTTAGTTCTTTGAGAAATCTCCATAGAGGTTGTTCTAATTTGCATTCCTACCAACAGTGTGTAAGTGTTCCTTTTCACTGTATCCATTCCAACATCTATTATTTTTTGACTTTTTAATAATAACCATTCTAATTGGAGTAAAGTAGTATCTAATTGTAGTTTTAATTTGCATTTCTCTGATGATTAGTGATGAGCACTTTTTCATATGTTTCTTGGCCATTTGTATATCTTATTTTAAAAAATGCCTATTCATATCATTTGCCCACATTTTAACGGAGTTATTTGTTTTTATCTTGCTGATTTGTCTAGTTTCTTGTAAATTCTTTATTAGTCCTTTGTCAGACATGTAGTTAGGAAATATTTTCTCCCATTCTGGAGGTTGTCTGTTTACTCTATGGATTATTTCTTTTGCTGTACAGAAGATTTTTTAGTTTAAATCCCATTTGTCTATTTTTGTTTTTGTTGCATCTGCTGTTGAGGTCATAGTCACAAATTCTTTGCCTACACCAATGTGCAGAAGAATTTTTTTCTACATTTTCTCTTAGGATTTTTATGGTGTCAGCTCTTACATTTAAGTCTTTAAACTGTCTAGAGAGTTAATTTTTGTATATGGTGAGAGATAGGGATCTAGTTTTATTCTTCTGCATATAGCTATCCAATTTCCCAGCAACATTTATTGACTTGTGTCCTTTCCCCAGTGTATGTTTTTGACTGCTTTGGTGAAAATCGGTTGGTTGTGTGTATATGGTTTTATTGCTGGGTTCTCTACTCTGTTCCACTGATCTTTGTGTTCTACTTTTATGCCAGTACCATATTGTTTTGGTTACTATAATTTTGTAGTACAATTTGAAGTCAGATGATGTGATGCCTGCAGGTTTGTTCATTTTGCTTTGGATTGCTTTGGTTATTTGGGTTCTTGTTTTGTTTTGTTTTGTTTCATATGAATTTTAGAATTTTTTTTCTAATTCTGTGAAAAATGATGTTGACATTTTGATAGAAATTGAATTGAATCTGTAGTTGCTTCGAACAGTATTCAGGGTCAGTAGTATCTGTGATTTCTTGGGTGGCTTATGGAACAGTTATTAGTTGTAGCTGTGATGAAGTTTTACTGGGGTTTTGAATGCTAGCCAAGCCAGTCTTTGGGCCCCAATGATGGAAGCAGTGGCCTGAGTGTGGCTAATTTTAAGCTTCAAAGCACCATACCCTGGCAACAGTGTTAGTTTATCCTGAAGGGCCAATTTTGAGGCTTTCAGGTGGCTTGCTCAGAAGCTAGTAGTTGGAGCATAAGGCCAGGTGTGGGCAGGTTATCAGTCCCCTGAACAGCAGGTATAAAGTGTGGGTGGTGGCAGTAGTGGAGGCCACCCTCCACTAGTGGGTGGTGGCAGTAGTGGAGCTACCCACGAGGACCCAAGTGGTCCATCTTGGTGTTACTGGTAGCTGCAATAAATTGGCCAGACTAGTCCCCAGTCTCACAGCTGCCTGTAACAGGGCAGTGGGTATTGCCCTAAATGTGCTCAGGAGAGCTTGGTCTCCCTATCCCTTCCTCACTAGGTTGTACCTATAGCCACATCACCTTGAACTCAGCCAAAGGGAAAGGAGCAGCCTAGTGTTAAACTCTCAAAATGGCACCAGCCGTAGGCTTGTAATCAAAGAGGGAAGGGCCCCTTTCAGGCAAATGACATGGGCAAGGAACAATGGGAAGTGCAGTCCACTCACATCTTAGTCTCTGAGGAACGCATAGCCAGGCAGTGGGAATTGTCCTATGTGTGTTTTGGAGAATTTGGGTTCCTCTGTCCTTCAGCTGGCTTCAGCTATAGCTGGGTCAGCCTTAACTCAGCCTGAGGGCAGGGTATGGCCCAGCCTTTAACTCCCAAACTGGCACTTTGGGTCTGTGACCAAAGAGGGTGGGCCCCTTCCAGGCAAACAGCATGGGCAAGGTACTGGGTGCAGTGCCATCTTCTCATGTCTTGGTTTCACTGCATCAAATAGCAGGAAGGTGGGAATTGTCCTAGGAGTACATAAGAGAGCTTATGTACTGTCCCTCCTGTCCCCCGTCCCCCCCCCCTCCCTCCTCAGCTGCATCAGCCCAAACTAAGCCCAAGGGCAGGGTGCTGCCTAGCTTTAAACTCTCAGAATGGAATCTTGCGCCTGTGACCTGAGAGGGTGGAGCCCTTTTTAGTCAGGTTGTGCTGGCAAGACACTTTGGGGAGTGCAGTTTGTGTAAGACTCAGTCCTACAGCAGCCAGCCACAGGATGTCAGGCACTATCCCAGATGGTAACTGGAAAGCCTGGTTTTCCTACCCATCTCCAAACCAGGCAGGTACTGCAGCCACATTAGCTCAAACTCATCCTGAGGGCAGAGTGTACCCAATGTCAGACTCTCAAAATAGCAGCTTGGACCTGCATCTGGAAAGGCTGAGGCCCCAGCTAGGCAAACAGCATGGATGGGGAACTGTGGAAAATACTGTCCATTCAAACTTCAGTCTAAACAGCCTGAAATAGGGAAGTGGGGACCTTCCCAGGGGAACATGGGAGTACTTGGGCTCCTCTATCCCTCTGTGGAGCCACTCAGTAGCTGCAGGTGTGCCTGTGGTTCCCCGGTATTCAAGCTCTCAGAATGGGACCTGGATCAAACTCCTTTAGGTTCAGATACCTGTGGGATTCCATATGAGTTCCCTTTCTGGAGCAATATCTCTGTGTGCTCTCCAACTAGCTCCCTATGTTAGCCCCAAAACCTGTGTGAGTCAGGGGGTACTCTTGTAGCCAAGATCATAAAAGCTCATCTCAAAGACTAGGGCCCTGAGGGCTTCTATATTACTGTTTCTTCATATCCAGGACCTTCTCCCAACTCTTAGCCAGGCCCCAGCCATGCCAAGTTTCCCTGAATCCTCTCCTTACCCACTTTTGGTCCTTTCCATCCCTTCCCTGGTGAATCCTAGCATTCTCTCCTAGACGATCTATTCGAAATGTGAGAATCTGCATACTATGTGTCAAAACCTTTGATATATGAAGTTAATTTTTATTTTTCTTTAAGAAGAAAAGTATTAATAATTTGGAGCCTAATAACTATAATTTTATTTTTAAAAAGGCATCTGTAGCTAGTGACATTTCTTGACCTATCTCCCCCTTACGTAGTAGAAAGATTTTATGTAATTCCTCTGTATAAACGTAAGATCAGATTAAAGAGCAGATTGGGTCATCACTGTTTATATGATAAAACTGGGGGTAAAATGTTGGCCGGGCGCAGTGGCTCACGCCTGTAATCCTAGCATTCTGGGAGCCTGAGGTGGGTGGATCGCTCAAGGTCAGGAGTTTGAAACCAGGCTGAGCAAGAGCGAGACCCACGTCTCTACTAAAAATAGAAAGAAATTAATTGGCCAACTAAAAATATACAGAAAAAATTAGCCACGCATGGTGGCACATGCCTGTAGTCCCAGCTACTTGGGAGGCTGAGGTAGTAGGATCACTTAAGCCCAGGAGTTTGAGGTTGCTGTGAGCTAGGCTGATGCCACGGCACTCTAGCTCAGGCAATAGAGTGAGACTCTGACTCAGAAAAACAAAAAATAAAAAAACTGGAGATAAAATGTGATTGAAGTTCATCCCTGTTTTTTTCACTAAATGATCGTGTCTATGATACAAAGTCAGTCAACCCAATGTTAAGGCCTAATTCATCCTTCCTAATTTTATACAAATCACTAACCAACCTCCCCAACCCTTTCCAACAATCTGATTTTTAATCTAAAGATAAAAATAATCATGCTTGTTATGATATATTCTAGTTGCATATTTTTTTCTCTCTCAGAGTTGCATTTGGGAACTGCAATGGGTTGGCTGTGGTGGATTTTATACAGAAGACAGTACTATTAAGCATGGGGACCTTTGACCTATATAAATCAAGTGACCTATACCAGCGACAACCACGGTCTCCTCGAAAAAACAAGCAGTTCATTGCAGGTAGGAGATAAAACAAGAAGGATTATGAACTTGAGTTCATCTTTTTTCTTACTTTTAGACTTGTCTTTCTTTTGTGATGCTACTCAAATGCATGGCAAATAAACTCAATAACATTTACAATACCATGTGAAGTAAAATGAACAGAAACTTAGTGAGAATCTTTGAAGGAGAAAAGGAGTGTTTAAACTTCAATTGGCTGTTGAAGTTAGAAAGCATCTGAAGTTTCTTAGGTTGAATTCTTAAGAAATAACAAAATAAGAAGCTATTAAATTTAAAAATGCTATGACAATTAGGGCTCTCTACTTGAAAAAGCTGCTTGCAATGGTTGTGTTAAACAGGTAAACTTTCTTCTAAAATATCTGGCCTCTTTAGAAAGACAATTTTAAGTTGTTCACTACTTTTAATTTTTTAAATTAATTCAATATTGTAGGTGTTGCTTTTCCTTGTTGGATAATGACTTTCCTAGAGTTAATTTCACAGTGCAATAAATGTTATACATTAACACTTTAAAATGCTATGAAAGATGGCATTTTTTCTTGACAGGATCAATAAACTGATTTATTTAACTATAATTGATGAGAAAACTATGGTTAATTAGGATATAATGTCAAACTTTGATATGCCAAATTATCTAAAGTTTTACTAAAATTTTATTAAATATTCAAATAGTGGGCTTAGTAAACGCTGCCAAAATTTTGTGTATTTTCTGTCCATTGACAATACTGTAGCTGATAAAAAAAATTAGGCAAAAAGTTTGCAGATTTAAATGCTTCTATAGTATTACATATTATTTTAGATAATTTTTTTAAGTTTTCTACTCTGTTTCATTTAAAATAATCCATTGGATATTGAAGTATTTACTGCATACACCTATGAAAAAATATTTTATAATAAAAAGGGTTACATGATGGTAGTGTAATTTTGGTAATAGCAAGTGTACCAATTTTAACATCTTCATATGGTAATAAATGAATTTCCCTTTTAAACTAATAAAACTTGATATACTTAAATTCTTCTTCTTTGTTAAGCTTTATATTTTAAACCTCAATCCTTTCCAAATTGCTAGTTTAGACCGTTTTCAGGGGCACAAAATTTTTCCTTCAGAGCCTGAGGCTTTTTTGTAGGGAACTCAACTTTTAGCAATATTTTAGGAGTTCTGGAAATTTCAAATTCTATAGGTTTTGCCTCTATGATTACTGGCATTTGAAAGACAGACAGAATTAGAGAAATTGTGTACACATGTAACATAAGATTGCCTCATGATTGGAAAAGAGAAGGTTGAAGTTCAGGGACTCCAGGATAGGAAGGTATTGAGGGTAGTAGACACTGTTTGCAATGCTCAAAGTAACAATTCAATCAGAAAAGCTGTGAATCCTGTGACAACATCTAAGTTACTTGATGGAAATACACAGGGGGGTGAAAAAGTGTATATTTTGACAAAGGCAATACAACTGTTATTTAATTTAAATTTGTTGAACTTTAACAATTACTATTAGAGCTTAGAATTTTGATGACATTAAAATCAAGAAAAACTGTGATGAATAAACTTTGTATTTAGTGTACAAAATGACTATGAGTAGTCACTTCACATTATAAAAATAATATTAAAGACTAAAATCCCTAGCTTTCTTTTTAATTATGGATGGATTAAAGATAATCACTGTTATATTAATGAGGTAATTCATACATATTATTTAACAAGCCAAATAAGTATACTTTGTAAAAACATATAAGAAAAATATGCAATCTACTTTTATAAGATAGTGAATTCAATAAAATTGCTACAGCTACTGCATTCTCATCATTCATCTATCACCTCTTACTTTTTAATTGATTTATTTTTTAATATCTCCTCTCTGATTACCTAATCTTGCTGCAATTTCTTCACCTTGGCTGTTCTAGATTCTGGTATGATATCACTTCCTTTCACTTTAGAATATTTTTCTCTTTCCTGTGCCTGCTGCTGATGCTGGTGTTCTGGCATGTTCCAAAGACAACTTTTGCATGCGTGGCCTGTCTAACTTTTATCCTGATTTAACGAAACGGATCCGTACTTCTTACCAGAGTAAGTTCTATAAAGGTTAGGCAAATAGCATTTTTAAGTCATAATGCTTGAGTTAAAACCATACATTAGTGCTCAGTAATGTGTTTTTTAAAACACATTCAGCATGCATGCAAATTTTTGTTTTGTTATGGAAGTGCAACCTGATAATTTTAATAAAAATTATTATACAAATATTTTAAATCATTATTGTCATGTACCCATTCAGTCATACCCATTGTTTCAATGTTTATTTCAAACCATGCAGACTATGTCCAAGAATAACTATCTTTTGTTTTGAGGCAGAATAGCCATGGTATCTTTGTATTTAATAAACCTGATATACCAGTATCAATAATAAATTATTGCTTTCTTATTTTGGAAACCTTGTGCTTTTGGCCATTTTATAACATTATTCTAACCAGGGCCATAATATTTTCTTCTTTTAAGTAATTATATTTCTTTTAGATAACTATTCCTAATTTCTGATAGTTTTTATTAAAATAGAATTCACAGGCACTTTTCTATAGTGATTTTAGGTACCAAACACTGTGAAAGGAGGATAATTAAGCTCAAAATTAGAAGAGTAAATAAGATTAACATTTGCCCTGGTAGCAAATGCATATCTTAAGAAAGCTGAAGTAAGCAGTTCTAAAAACTGGTACAGAAATGGTGGGAAGTGAGGGCGTGTGTGACTGGAGGTGCAGATGATACTCGTGATGTTATGGGTAAATATTTATTGACATGAAATTTATAATATGTTAAACAATATATCATGTATAAAAAGCAGGTTGCTTAACAATATATACAATATGGACTTATATTTGTATGAAATATACATATATGCACACACTCACACATTCATGTTGTTTATAATCTGAATTTCTTCAGACCTCATCTCATAGATACCAATGGAATCACATCATTATAAAACCTGAAGCTTTACTAGTTTGTGCCCCTAACTAAGGAAGTCAGTCCCTGTGAAATCTTTAAAATGTTTCTGGAAGTGCCCCTACCCAATCTGAGGTGACTTATTTTGACTCATAAATATTCTGTGGTTTTCTACTGTAGCAGAACATCCCCTTTTGAGCTGCTTCCCCCTGTTTCTGTTCCTGGTGCCTTGTATAAGAACATTGGTATCTTTTACTGCACCTAAAACAGGAACTTACTAGATACTATCACATTTCTTCATTTCTGAAAATTATATGAAATTTCGGTTTCTATAATAAAGTTTTATTGGAACACAGCCATGGTCATTCATTTACATGTTGTCCATGGTTGCTTTCACATTGCAATTGCAGAGTTGAATCCTTGTAACAGAAACCATATGGCCCACAAGGCCTAAAATATTTACTATCTTGCTTTGTACACACAAAGTTTGCTGATGCCTGCCCTATACCATTCTTTCACACCCATCCCCTACACCACATAAAAGATTTCAGGCAAAAACCTTTCTATACATAGTCTCCAGGTGGTTTAATATACATATTCAGACTTCTGAATCCCAGTTTAGCCTTCTGAAGGTAAAATTCCCCTACATGGGGATGGGTGTGTGTGTGTATGTGTGTGTGTAGAGAATGAAAAGTTTCTGGAACGTGAGATTGTGGATTTTACAAATTTCTTCTTGTGGCTTTACCATATTTTCTGATTTTTCTGTAATAAACATGGAATGTTTTATGGTATAAAGAGAAATTATGAAAAGGGACTTATGCTTTAATGACTCAAAGGTATATCCTGCAAGTTGCTTTTAAAATTAAATTTTGCCAGGCGTGGGGGCTCACGCCTGTAATCCTAGCACTCTGGAAGGCTGAGGTGGGAGGATTGCTCAAGGTCAGGAGTTCGAAACCAGCCTGAGCAAGAGCAAGACCCCGTCTCTACTAAAAAATATATAAAGAAATTAATTGGCCAACTAAAAGTATATAGAAAAAATTAGCCGGGCATGGTGGCTCATGCCTGTAGTCCCAGGTACTTTGGAGGCTGAGGTAGATCCGGCTGAGCTTGAGCCCAGGAGTTTGAGGTTGCTGTGAGCTAGGCTGATGCTACGGCACTCTAGCCCGGGCAACAGAGTGAGACTCTGTCATTCATAGATAGATAAATAGACAGATAGATAGATAGATAGATAGATAGATAGATAGATAGATAGATAGATAGATAGATAGATAGATAGAAAGAAAGAAAATTTGGCTTGAAGTTTAACTATTTAATAATATAATCTGGTTATACATCTACAGTCTCATTTTATTATAATACAGACTGTGCAGCCTTTTCATAACTCATTTCCTAACTTTGAGAAAAGCAAGTCTGCATTGTACATATTTGAGGAGATAGAATGTAGTTCTATTGAGTGTCTATTCTGAGATTGTGCTAGGCAATCTGAGTTAGTGTTACATTATTAGTCATTTTAATCCTTTAGAGTACAGGATATTTATAGTAGCTTCCTTTACAAATGAAAAAAATAAGTTGAAAGAAATGAAATTAATCTCTCAAAGTCACACAAGAATAAGTAGGAGCCAAACTCATGGCCAATAATAAAGTGACTCCATATGCTTTTCATTGTATGACCTTGTGTCTCTAAGTATCTTAAAGTTTGAGGTACCTTGGAAACCAAATCCATTCTATAACCAGAAACCACTTTTTTTCCCTCATTTTTAACCCACTATCTATGAAATAATATATTAAAAAAAGAAACAATTTGAAATCATTTTTCACATATTTAAAATGATGAAATTGGACAAGATTATCTCTGAAGGTCCCTTATATCATTAAAAAACTATTTTTATATTGGGAATTGAACTTTTAAAAAATTACCATGGACAGGATAGACTTCCAGATGGCAGCTTGAGGAGCATCATGGACCCATTCCCTAGCAGAAAAGTATAACTGGTGAAAAATATTTTAAAAACAACCATTTCAAGTTTCTGAAAATTGTCCTAAGGGCATACA